TTTTTTTATCTGAAGAGCTTTTTCCCATTACAAAGCTTTTGTGCAATGGACAGTTCCCATGGATATTAAAGGTTGCCCATGGAACTATAGATGTCAACAACAAACCTTTATTTTTAATAGTTTAGAATAACACATTCAAGAGTTTAGATTATAAGACATTCATGCTATCAAGCTACCAAAAAATAAACTGCAAAACCTTAAATCTATATAAGCTCTATCTATGTTATTTCATTATCATGTTATCATCACACATGTCATGTCTTATATAAATATATATATATATATATATATATATAATAACAAAATAATACACATTCAAATTTTTAATGAAACAACATTATTAAAGGACACGAACATTTGATATCTATAAATACATTAAAATTAAAAAATAAATAAATAATTAAAATAATACATGTTTTATTTTTTACAATAGTAATATTAAAAGTCACTTCATAAAAAAATTTAATGAAGGCACCCCATTAAATTAAGATTGAATAAAGTAATTATTCAAATTAAGGTTATTGTAAAGAAATTGGTTTTGTTGGCATTTATTTTAAATGAAAGGCTGAAAGCCATCTCTCTATGCCTTTAAGAGAAACCCCATCTCCCCCTTTCTGCTCCGGTGGCACCTATTCATGTACCCTGATTTTCTTGGACAAAATCAATACCTCCATTTCCAAGAAGCTTCCCTCATATCCTCTAAATAATCCAACCACTCGTCCTAACTTAAATAAACCATAGCAATCAATAAGGCAACTTCAGCCAAGACGCTGCATCGGCCTGTCTTTAATGAGCTCCACTCTGTGTGTACACAGCCCTATTTCCTCGGCAGCGCATGCAACTGTCTGCACACATATTATCGGCACGCTTTGCTCCCCATCGTTATTTTCGTCCTTGTCTCTGTTTGCCACGACCCACCTCATCGCCTGACCCCTCTGCTATCTGTCGCATAGTGAAAGCTCTCTTCGCCTTAGGCCAATTAGTGTCAACTAGACACCAACAACATCAGTGACCTCTGGCTAGATAATTAAAACTAAATGGAAGGTACATCTTGACAAAAAACGCCACTTCCGCTGACTGTCCCGGGACCTTTTGCCATCTCCTTCAGTGGCTATTAATACGGAACACACCACGATACTTTTTAGTGCATTGATGTTACTGTCCAGTTTTGCACAAGTACTAGTGATCTAAAGAAAATAAACTAGAGTAGATGTCTATGACAGCTTCAAAGAAACACTGTGATGGTTAATAATTGTGCAGTTTTGTGGTGGATTTTACAGTAAATGCTATTATGCAGCACCGTGTAATGCTAAATTATACTAAATGCTATCAACAGGGCATAAAATGTATGTAATTGCCGTTATTTTATTCTGTAGCTATTAAAAATAGCAGGATGTAAACGATTTTACCATTCACAAAATGCCCTGTGAACTGTAAATTGAAGATGCTTATTCACGTTACCAAACCAAAGTGCTGTTTTTATGTCACTACTAAAGCATGAACAGTAGAGGGCGCCAGTATGTATGTTAATGTAGGCTTCTTAGCGATACCAATTAGCATGTATTAGGTAAGGAGAGATCTGTCTTTTGAACACCTTTCTAAATGTTAACTAGCATTAGGTGAGAAATCTGTTGACTGCATAATCTGTGACAAAGCAGTTATTTAAAAAAAGTTGTTGTTCAGATTGTGATATTTGTATATATGCATAAATAATGTTCTCGTCCATCATAAGCAGTGTTGGGGAAAGTTACTTTTAAAAGTAATGCATTACAATATTGCGTTACTCCATAAAAAAATAACTAATTACGTTACTTAGTTACTTTTTATGGAAAGTAATGCGTTACTTTACTAGTTACTTGAAAAAAGTAATCTGATTACGTAACTTGCGTTACTTGTAATATATTACCCCCAACACTGATCATAAGTGACATTAAGTAGATCGTTTGTCTCAGTTTGAGTTGATCTGTGGTTAGTCATAAGCACTGACCTGTGGATTGTACAGTCAGTGACATGCTATGGCTAATGTTACAACATGCTAAAAACTCTGAATGTGCTTTCTCTAAATAGCCTACCATAATGATAATTAACATTTACTCATTTTACTTGACACTCTCTCACCTTCTCATATGGATTTTTCTTTAAAAAAAAACTGATCAACCTTATAGCTCATTCTATAGAATTCTTTGTGAATTCTGATATTCACAAAGAATATCAGAAGCTGCATTCTAGTTATTAAAAATCAACAAAAAACGTTCACAAGTAACATTGACTAGACACATTGTTAATTATTGCCATGCTGATAAAGGAATATCTTCTTATTTTACAAAATACAATGACACCCATATAATTTACATGTGAAGAGCTCTCTCTGTCTGTCTCTCTCTCCCTCCCTCTCTCTATTTTTGAATATATATACACACACACACACACACACAGACATAGATAGATAGATAGATTTCTATAATTTAAAGAAAATGATGTGTAAACAAATTTTAAAAAAGATTTTCTATTTAGATTTCAGAACTAAATGTTATTAATGCAATTTTAAGAAAACATAAAAACAATATTTGTGTGAGAATATAATATGCTTTACCTTATGGATAAAATGTTATTTATGAAAAAAAAGTACCAAAAATTGGTACCAAAATACCAAAATTATTATCATTGGAGATGAAATGTACCCTAAATTGTAGAATGACTCCTATGCATTTAATTGACGTTTGTGCATTTACCATATCTGTAAATATTTATCTGTTCCCTGAATTGAACCCATGGCCTTACTAGTGCTACCCTCTACCTGTTAAGTTACATAACATCCACGTTAACTTTAATATCTGTTACTTCATGTAGCTATTTTAGTTACGCTTCCGAAATTCAAAATAGCTGCCCTGCTTGCAAATAAAGACCACACAGAGCAGTGCTAACTCCTGTCCCGCTCCCCTCAGCGCCGATGATGTATTATAGGTAGTGTGACTATTCTAATAAACACGGTTGGGGTAATTAAGGCATGGAGAGGCAGCAGACAGTGGTGGTCTAGGGACAACATGAAACGATAAATCACAACTCCTGGTTCCGCCTTCTCGAGCGTGGCCGATCACACTCACCGAGAAAGCAATTCTGCCAACCTGGGTTTGTACATTTGTCTTCATCAGCCTCTGGTTGTTTAGGGGCCGGTCTGAATTTGCTGGTTCCCATGGTAATCAAACAAGCCAGAAATATCAAATGTGTCCATTTGAATGTCAGCAATGGCATAACATTTAGGGCGAGCCTGGAAGCTAACTGCATGTTTTATTACGGAGCCCAGAGTGTACTGGATTAAACTGTGAATTTAAGGCTGTAAGGCTGAATGAGAAATGTTTCATGAGAGCGGATAGACTATGCTGCAAGTGCACAACTAAATACTAAGATCAATAAGCAAGCATACCTTGTGTTTGAAAAAGGATTTGTGTAATATTGTAAAATAATCCACTAAACATTTTCACAATTTTTGACAGGGTATTTTTTCACATTATATATGACAATCTGCTACACTGTAAAGAAAATAAAGTTGTAAACTAAATTTCACGTTTAACTGAATGTGTTACTTGACCTTTTTTTTTTTGTAATTATTTGTGAAATTTGATAGCAATTTCTGAGTAAAAATTGTTTCGCCTCAAAATGTTTTCAAGTGTATTTATTTTACACTAACCATTTTAAAAATAAAAAAGACTAAAATAAAAAAAAATCTCTTTTCTTGTATAATGAAACAGAAAAAATGGAAAAGATAACAAATTATAACACCAAACATAATACAAAATACAAAAATATCAAATTCTGACAACTAGCCCTAATTAAACAATCAACATTTCAGTTTGAAAACTTACTAAAATCTTATGACAACTTCCAAATATTCTGTAACCATACTGTTCACATCCAGAACGATAAAAAATAATTGAAATAATTTTTATTCAGACATTGCTATTAATTTTCACAAATAGTTACAAAGAATCAGAAATTAACACATTGAATTAAACTTGAAATTTTGAAGCAGAAAGACTGAAATAGTATTTTCATGTAAAACATACTTTAATATTTACTGTTTTTAACTTTGAAAAAATACTTTTCTACAATGTATAATGATAGCTATAAAAAATGTAACAATCATTATAATTCTACAAGTATCACTAAGTTAACACCTCAACTGTTCTTATAATAGACATAATGTTATGGTTATTATAAGTGCATGCTTCAGTTATGTCACCTGCTGCTTTAAATCTTATAAAGTTAAAGTTATCATTACAGTTATTGTTCTTGGTGTGTAGCCCTTACGGAAATTAACCATGGTTTGACTACAAATAAATACAAAAAAACATGTTCACTACAATTAAACCATGGGAACCACAAATTAACCATGGTTTTGCTACACTAACCATAGTTTAACCATGATATTTGTAGTAAAACTGTGGCTATACCAATGGTAATGAAGCAAAAAAACTATGGTTACTTCACTTGTACTATAATAAAACCATGGTTAATAATTTTCGTAACAG